AGTTCTTTTTAAAATTTATATGTCTACAATATTAATAGCGGATTTATTGGTTATTAAGCATCATAAATCAATTTTTAAATTTTGATTCTATTGAAAAATATTTTACTGTGACAAAACAAGCAAGTGCTGGTATGAATCAAAATTTTATTTGAATTAATGTTTTGTTGTTCAAATTGAATAGTGTGCTGTCAATGTATTTGAAAAAAAAGGTAGGGGTGCACACACAGAAGTTTAACTTTTCAGACTATACAAACATACTATGAAGTGGTACGTACAAACTTACAAATTTTAGTTTATTATTGCAACAGTTTGTACCCAAACAAGACAGTTCCATTGACTGTGGTGCTTATCTGTGCAAATTATGCATATCTAATATGTTATTGTTAAAATTAATTGACTTTTAGTTTGCCTATACATCATACTGTGTTGTGATGGAGTGTTCCGATATGTTGTCCAAGTATAAATTCTATTGTAATGGTTATGCTCTGTCGTAACATTGTTTATTAGATAACTTCAAAATTTTTGAGGCAATGGCTTATGACTCTCATGCTTCACAGTTTCAGGTACAATTTGCTATTGAAATGGAATATCATTTTTATATAGGTGGAAGACAATACTATTAGCGTTGCAACCAGAGTTGCTTAGTGCTAAGCAACTCTTTACAATGATTTACAAGCATTGAAAAGGGATCTGCAAAAAAGTGTGGCATTCCTAGCCCAGGTATGACAAAAATAAATATACTAGAAGTAACTATAATTTTTACATTTATTACGTAGGATAACTACTTTTTGGCTGGATTCTAAAGCTCAATATAACTATTTCAAAGGGTCTTCTTATCTTTAAAGAGCAGTGATTTCAAGGATATTGAACTATTATTATTTTAATTGTGTAATTAAATGAAATCAGTATCTCAGTATAGTGTTGCATGCAATAGCACTGATAAAAATTAATCATAAAATTTCACTATGTTTATTATTAGACTTACACCAAATAATATAGAAAAATCATTAAAATGGTGTCACTGAACTCCTGTTAAGAATAACAAATAGAATTCAAGTGATGGTTCAGTATTGTGATGCTTCTTGCAGCCTGTAGTAGCAATTTTGCATTGATAAAGTTAAATTTTCGCTAACATGACCTCTTCTATTGGTCCTAGCATAGTTAATACGTACATAAATTTATTGTCTAAGTATAGAAGTGTTTTAAAGACAGGCTATCCATGAATGATTGTCCTTTACATGGATATTTATGGTCCTCAGTGTCGGGTCCGCATCAGTCCGTCCGTCCGTCCTTTTCGGGCGGGGCGGGTCCGTCCGTCCGTCCGCTTTTGAGACCCTACCCCAGTTTTGTGTCAAGCGCAGGATTTCTGCGCTAGCAGGAAATGAGTCACAATGACCCAAATAACACCCACACAAGACATGAATAACATTATCATAAATTATTTTAAAATGGATGTAAAGGAAATGGTGTTTAGAAAGCTGAACTATGTCTTAAAGGAGGAGCAGTTGGCAGCTATCAAGGCTTTCCTCGAAGGAAGAGATGTTTTCATAGTGCTACCAAGAGTATATAATATAAAGAGAGTATCGAACGGCCCTATACAAGCTGCTGCATGAGGGCGTATTTGCTCAAAGTCACAATCCGCATACTCCAGTATACTTTATCAATGAATATAATTA